AGGGAGAACAAATACCTGTGAGCCCTCGAGTCTTTCACTCCCACTCCAGGCTGTCCGCTCCAGCCTTCACAACGTCACTAAAATGATGTACTAGTGGGCCTGACGGCCGAGTGGACAGCGCTCGACGTTAGCTGTTCACTTGTTCAGTCTGTTCACCTAGCAGTAAATAGGTACCTGGGAGTTGCAGCTGCAGCGGGCTGCTTCCTGGGGTTGTGTAACAAAAGGGAGGCCTGGTCGAGGACCGGGCCGTGAGGACGCTAAGCCCCGAAATGATCTCAAGATAGGTGGTGGTGATGATGGTCCCGTGTTGCGGTAGTACGACACGTGGTACAGCGATGATTGACCACGTGCAACAGACAGGTCGTTGCACGTGTCTGTCTGTGGCAGGGGATAAATGATGATTTCCTCCATCCCCCAACAGTCTGTACGGTCACGGTGATTCCACTTGACCTAAGTAACTTTTAACACTATCACTCTAGTTCACCACCTACAAAATTCTCAGGGAAATTGACAGGGTGGATAAGAACAAACTATTTTGCACGGGCGGGACACGAACAAGGGGACACAGGTGGAGACTGAGTACCCAAATGAGCCACAGGGACGTTAGAAAGAACCTTTTCAGTGTCAGAGTAGTTAACAAATGAAATGCATTAAGCAGTGATGTGGTGGAGGCTGACTCCATACACAGTTGCAAGTGTAGATATGATAGAGCCCAGTAGGCTCAGGAACCTGTACACCAGTTGATTGACAGTTGAGAGGCTGGACCAAAGAGCCAGAGCTCAACCCCCCTTCCCCACGAGCAAAACTAGGTGAGTACTTGAATCATATGTGAATGGTAGTAACGAATTTGGATTAAGTTTAGTAAATAGCCAGCCAATGTTGACCTGGCATGACTGGGCTCCTGTGTGTAGTGAGTGTGGAACCTGGGATCCAGGGAGCAGAACTCCCACAAGTAACGTAGTGGAACACTCACCTTAGAATGCTTGCTTGGTGGAACACTCACCTTAGATAGCTTGCTTGGTGGAACACTCACCTTAGAAGGCTTGCTTGGTGGAACACTCACCTTAGAAGGCTTGCTTGGTGGAACACTCACCTTAGAATGCTTGCTTGGTGGAACACTCACCTTAGGTAGCTTGCTTGGTGGAACACTCACCTTAGAAGGCTTGCTTGGTGGAACACTCACCTTAGAAGGCTTGCTTGGTGGAACACTCACCTTAGAATGCTTGCTTGGTGGAACACTCACCTTAGAAGGCTTGCTTGGTGGAACACTCACCTTAGAATGCTTGCTTGGTGGAACACTCACCTTAGATAGCTTGCTTGGTGGAACACTCACCTTAGAAGGCTTGCTTGGTGGAACACTCACCTTAGAAGGCTTGCTTGGTGGAACACTCACCTTAGAATGCTTGCTTGGTGGAACACTCACCTTAGATAGCTTGCTTGGTGGAACACTCACCTTAGAAGGCTTGCTTGGTGGAACACTCACCTTAGAAGGCTTGCTTTGTGGAACACTCACCTTAGAATGCTTGCTTGGTGGAACACTCACCTTAGATAGCTTGCTTGGTGGAACACTCACCTTAGAAGGCTTGCTTGGTGGAACACTCACCTTAGAAGACTTGCTTGGTGGAACACTCACCTTAGAAGGCTTGCTTGGTGGAACACTCACCTTAGATAGCTTGCTTGGTGGAACACCCAGCTTAGAATTCTTGCTTGGTGGAACACCCAGCTTAGAATGCTTGCTTGGTGGAACACTCACCTTAGAATGCTTGCTTGGTGGAACACCCACCTTAGAATGCTTGCTTGGTGGAACACCCAGCTTAGAATGCTTGCTTGGTGGAACACTCACCTTAGAATGCTTGCTTGGTGGAACACCCACCTTAGAATGCTTGCTTGGTGGAACACCCAGCTTAGAATGCTTGCTAAATGGAACACCCAGCTGAGAAGGCTTGCTAAATGGAACACCCAGCTGAGAAGGCTTGCTTGGTGGAACACCCACCTTAGAATGCTTGCTTGGTGGAACACCCAGCTTAGAATGCTTGCTTGGTGGAACACCCACCTTAGAATGCTTGCTTGGTGGAACACCCAGCTTAGAATGCTTGCTAAATGGAACACCCAGCTGAGAAGGCTTGCTTGGTGGAACACCCACCTTAGAATGCTTGCTTGGTGGAACACCCAGCTTAGAATGCTTGCTTGGTGGAACACTCACCTTAGAATGCTTGCTTGGTGGAACACCCAGCTTAGAATGCTTGCTTGGTGGAACACCCAGCTGAGAAGGCTTGCTTGGTGGAACACCCAGCTGAGAAGGCTTGCTTGGTGATTGATCTCCTCAGCACAAAAAGTCTGGTTATGAAATAACTAATTGAAGTGAAGCATTTCCGCAGGTGCTCTTGTGAATGGTGGTCATGTCAAGAGCCCCAGGAAGCGGAATCCCAAAACCTGTCTGAAGCTCGACCGTCACTCTACCGTCCACCCCAAGTGGTTGGGCCGGGTAGAGACACCAAGACTTCAGAGTCTTACGGAATCGAGAACTGATCAAATATTATCGTTGTCCAACAGCAAATATTCCGATGCTTAAAGGATTTGTTTATTTTCAGGAGCCTGGTGACTGAAGCCTTGTGGAGTGGTCGACTCCATTTATGTGGAGGAACATAGGTAGGTGAGATGGTTACTTTGTTTATAATCCCTTAATACAAGGTAACCCGATGACATTGAGATTGGTCGCTTTATTGGAGGCGATTGCCCAATACTGTCACTATGGCGGTGTGTCCACTCACAAGATGAGTGGCGCTGCCCAATACTGTAAATATTACGGTAATATTGACAGTCTTCGATGTCAATATTACGATGGTTTGCTCGTTTTAAACGAGTTAGTTGGGCAGCACAACTTGACCCACAGTTGAAAACAGATGCCTGCTCATGGAGCTGCATGAAATTTTTTACCTGTGCTGGGAAGAAGGAGAGGTGCCACAGGACATGAGGGATGCCAACATCGTCACGCTGTATAAGAATAAAGGTGACAAGGGCGACTGCAACAATTACCGTGGCATCTCCCTCCTCAGTATTGTCTGAAAGCTGTTTGCTCGAATAACATTGAAGAGGCTCCAAGTACTTGCAGAGAGAGTCTATCCAGAATCACAATGCGGATTCAGAGCTGACAGGTCCACCATCGACATGGTCTTTTCTCTCAGACAACTGCAGGAGAAATGCAGGGAACAGAAGCAGCCACTCTTCGTAGCCTTCATAGATCTGACGAAGGCCTTCGACCTCGTCAGCGGGGATGGCCTGTTCAAGATCCTCCCCAAGATCGGATGCCCACCCAGGCTCCTCAGCATCATCAGATCTTTCCATGAGAACATGAGGGGCACCGTGGTCTTTGATAGCCTAACATCAGACGCCTTCGACATCCGAAGTGGAGTAAAGCAGGGCTGCGTCCTGGCTCCAATTCTATTCGCGATTTTCTTCGCAGTTATGCTGCAGCACGCCATCGGATCTGTCACAGAAGGCATCTACCTCTGAACCAGGTCGGATGGAAAGCTCTTTAATCTCGCCAGGCTGAGAGCCAAGACAAGGGTTCGGCTGAGGTGTCTGTGCACTTCCTTTTTGCTGACGACGCAGCAGTCACAGCCCACTCAGCCGAAGACCTCCCACGGCTCATGACCCGCTTCAGCGAGGCTTGTCAGGCTTTCGGACTCACCATCAGTCTGAAGAAAACACAAGTCATGGGACAAGGAGTGGACTCCCCACCTGACATCGGCATCTCCGATTCCAAACTGGAAGTCGTTCACGACTTCGTGTACCTGGGCTCCACAATCTCTGACTCCCTCTCTCTTGATACGGAGCTAAACAAACGCATTGGTAAGGCATCTACTACCATGTCCAGACTGACAAAGAGAGTGTGGGCCAACAATAGGCTGACTGAGTGTACAAAGACCCAGGTTTACAGAGCCTGTGTCCTGAGCACTCTCCTATATGGCAGTGAGTCTAGGACACTCTGCGCCCATCAGGAAAGACAGCTGAATGCGTACCACATGCGCTGCCTCGGACACATCTTGGACATCACCTGGCAAGACAAGGTAACAAGCAACAACGTCCTGGGGAGAGCTAGAATCACCAGCATGTACACAATGCTGAAACAGAGACTGATGCCCTGGCTCGGGCACGTTGTGCGAATGGGCGACGGCAGGATCCCCAAGGATCTCCTGTACGGAGAGCTGATGCAGGGAAAGAGTCCAACAGGCATGCCCCAGCTACGGTACAAAGACGTATGCAAGAGGGACCGGAAAGCCATGGACGTCGATCTTGCCACGTGGGAAACACTGGCCGCAGACCGTTCAGCCTGGGGGAGGGGGAGGCAGTCTGTTCAGAGAGTTCTCTCCAAGTTCGAGGAGTCACTTGCCAAGAAACCGGAGGCAAAGAGACAGAGAAGGAAAGCCGGTAGCCGGGAAGACAGATCAGAATCGGACTTCGTTTGTGCTCAGTGTGGGATGGACTGCCACTCTCGGATTGGCCTCATCAATCACACCAGACGCTGCACCAGGATTGACAACCAGGGCGCAACGCCATAGTCTCCTGAGACTTAAGGATGCCTACTACTACTATGTACAGAACTACATTCACAAAACTATTCTCAAAATCCTTTATTCACATGACGATCTTCACAATACTGCATTCAAAATACTTCATTCCCAGTATCGACTTGAGAATGGTCCAAGACGGACCAAACGTCGTCGTCCCTTCACCTTCTAGTGTGTGGTCTGGTCAACATCAATCGCAGTACTTTATACTTAATACTGCATTCACAACAGTCTAGTCACAATACTGCATTCTCAGTAGGTTTACTGCATTCAAATTGCTGCATTTACAACATTAGGCATAATGATATTAAAATAAATCTGAGTTATATATATATATAAATGTATTTATTCTCATATTTACATAATTGACCCCTATCTGTACACAAATAAAATAAAACATTATAAATTAGGTTGTGAATCATCCGTCATCATTAAGGACAATGGACCGCCCAGCATGTACGCGTCAGCACCTACATTCATTATTATTTAATGCTTTCCTGGATTACTTATACATGATTGAACAAAATGTGAACACGTTGATAAAATGTTTAATATCATGTTTAACGCTTAGGCTGCTATCAACGCATATAAACGTTTTGTAACACTTAAACTCATGCTGATAACTTTTTTTTTTAAACTGTTCAAATGAGTAAAACTGAGTTCTGGTTATAAATTATTCCTGTGAAATAAGTGAGCAGTATACGGCTGAAGTGAGAGAATCGGGAGTGATAGGTGTTCTTTGATGACTATCCGCAAGCTGGGACTATCCTTCCTCCTATCCCTGTGGCGAATATCGGAGTTCAGAGTTTAGCCACACCTCGGGGGATAACTGGCGCCGTTGACGGTACAGTAGTAAGAGAGGGAGAAGGTGATGGCTGTGTTGGTGGAGGTGACGGTGACGGTGTAGGTGCTGGAGGTGGTGGAGATGAAGGTGAGGGCGATGCGAGGCTCCCTAAAGTCTGTGTTGGCGCCCTTCTCGTACTCAGCCAGCGACCCCTCCAGCTGCGCCGCCCTGTAAGTTAATAATAATAATAATACTTATAATAGTTCAAAACTCTTCCCACTCAAACATGCCTCCCAAGCCACCAAGCTCTATCTATACAAAACACTTATTCTCCCACTCCTAACATATGCACCGATCCCACTCTCACTTGCAGCACCAACAAATAGGAAGAAACTCCAGCGTACCCAGAACAGGGCTTTGAGATGGGTGTTCGATACCCATTGGCAGGACTTCACCACCAGTGAGGCCCTGCATGAGTGGGCGAACATCCCACCTCTGAACATAACCTGGGATACTATGGGGAAGAAACAGATTAACAGAATTCTCACCTATCATGACAACTACGACACGTTCCTCAGAAACGTCCAAAGCAGACCCAGACATACGCACAACCTCTTTAACCTGATCGACGACCCACCTCCTGCTCCGTCCTTTACATGACCCCTCTCCTCTAATACCACTACTCAAATCACCAAACTTCCAACTATAGCCTCCTAACTCTTCTCCCCCCTCTTTAGGGGGGGACCAATTAGCTCCCGTTTTCTGGTGCCTTGGGTGGGGCACGATGCTGATTAGCAGATCTAAGACCACATCTGGTGTGAGCCTCCAGGGCACACCCAGCTGAGGGCTGCTGTCTCCGTGGGTGCTCAGAAAGACGAAATGTTGTCACAGAGATCCGATTCCTTGCCTTCACTGCCTAGTCTGGTCATAACGATTTCAATGCCATGCAGCTGGGTCTAGCCCTGGCACTTTACCTCATACTGAAAACCCTTCCTCTCACCCCCACTAAGTCTTCCCCTATCCCCACTTCCACGCTCACCCATTAGGGCATCTTGACCTATATTTAATTCATTCATTCATTCATAATAGTTTGGGGGTAGAAATAGCCTAAGCTACTCTATCCCTTTGAGATGTATTTCTTTCTTGTCTCAATAAACATACTTGAACTTGAACTGAACTTATAATAAAATAGGTTATTCTTGTAAAAGTACGTTCATTTAAAATAAGTTACAAACATAATGTTGGATTTATAGATAGGTTTAAAATTTACTGTGCCTGAAGCCACTAATATGCACAGCGTTTCTGATCATGTTTGGCACATGCCATACAGTAATCAGGGTGTAAGTGTTACACCCTTTTGTGTGTTCCAGTTAATCACAACGTTCACTCTGTCCTCCGTCCTCCACTACAGTAGCCGCCATTCATTATGTACAACTGCATTTCTACACACATATATATATATATATATATATATATATATATATATATATATATATATATATATATATATATATATATATATATATATATATATATATATATATATATATAGTATATTTTGGTAGCAGTCTTTCCTGTAGACATATATTATTAAATATGACCGAAAAAGTAAGATTAATAATTCTAACACGAATTTTCTCAATCTTTCGTACATTTCTTTTCACTGTTGGAGGTAATTCAAAAATCAATTCTCCAAAATTCATTTCATTTCTAGTCCATCTATAAAATAAAATGAATTTTGGAGAATTGATTTTTGAATTACCTCCAACAGTGAAAAGAAATGTACGAAAGATTGAGAAAATTCGTGTTAGAATTATTAATCTTACTTTTTCGGTCATATTTAATAATATATATATATATATATATATATATATATATATATATATATATTATCCAAACATTGTAATGTCTTGTCTGTCTGTCTCTTGGAGGCTCGAAGCCAGACATTTGGGGTATCCTAAGAAAACTTTACATACTGATTTCTGTAGGACATGTTCCACACATGATCAGATTAGAACATGTGAAACAAATACAACTTGAGACTGTGACTGGCACCCCCACGACAATATTTTTGCTCTATGTTTTTAGAATGATATAAAATATTATGCACTGAGGTCTTCAAATATTCAAATTTTTTTATCCATCATATTTTGCCTGTTATAAGCTGTAATATATACATTGATGATGCCACTCTCCGTGTCCCAACATCCTCCCACTGCTGGCCAATATATGACAGTCCGCCCCACCATGCAGCGTTGATAACATGTTTACACCCGGGGCAGGTCACCACATTGTTTCCCGTTACCCCTCTGTCTCCTGTCTCCCGACACCATCTGTCCCCCGTCACCCTCTGTCTCCCGTCACCTGTCAGCCAGAACAAAGTTCCTTACTCATTTGCTATAATCCGCTCATCCTCAATGGGAGTGTAACGCTTGAACCGGCGACGCTGACAGACAGGTGCGTTGACGGTAAGGGCGCAGGTGTAGGGCCGGATGGTGGTGGAGGTGGTGAGGATGATGGCTGTCTTGGTCGACCTCTTGGCCACGATCCTCGCGTCATCACTGTCCCGAGCTGTCAGGAGAAGACCACGTTAGTCATCTTTGATATATATATATATATATATATATATATATATATATATATATATATATATATATAACTGAAAACTCACACCCCAGTTGTATATAGTCCTGGGGACCATTCAGGCTTGTTTGCATATATATATATATATATATATATATATATATATATATATATATATATATATATATATATATATATATATATATATATATATATATATATATATATATATATATATATATATATATATATATATATATATATATATATATATATATATATATATATATATATATATAATGCACAGACTACCCTATTCCAGTAGCTGAAGTTTATAAGTTTTTAGACACTCAACCCACCAGGGGACTCGAACACTGGCCAACAAGGTGGCAGTTGCATACTGTATCCACTACACCATACTCATGGCTTTGAAGTATGGTGTAGTGGATACAGCATGCAACTGCCACCTTGTTGGCCAGTGTTCGAGTCCCCTGGTGGGTTGAGTGTCTAAAAAGTTATATATATATATATATATATATATATATATATATATATATATATATATATATATTAGTATATTTTGGTAGCAGTCTTTCCTGTAGACATATATTATTAAATATGACCGAAAAAATAAGATTAATAATTCTAACACGAATTTTCTCAATCTTTCGTACATTACGCTTCACTGTTGGAGGTAAATCAAAAATCAATTCTCCAAAATTCATTTTTATTTCTAGTCTGACGCGACACGGGCGCGTTTCGTAAAACTTATTACATTTTCAAAGACTTTAGTTCACAAATACACAACTGATTAGAACTTACGTATCTCCGATTTTATATCTACATTTGAGTGAGGTGGGAGGGGTGATGTGGCATTAACACAACACAGAACAAGAGGGGATATTAATAGGGTATTAAAAGTATCAACACAAGACAGAACACAAACAATGGGTATTGAATAGAAGTGTTTGTAGAAAGCCTATTGGTCTATATTTCTTGATGCTTCTATATTGGAGCGGAGTCTTGAGGTGGGTAGAATATAGTTGTGCAATAATTGGCTGTTGATTGCTGGTGTTGACTTCTTGATGTGTAGTGCCTCGCAAACGTCAAGCCGCCTGCTATCGCTGTAACTATCAATGATTTCTGTGTTGTTTACTAGGATTTCTCTGGCGATGGTTTGGTTGTGGGAAGAGATTATATGTTCCTTAATGGAGCCCTGTTGCTTATGCATCGTTAAACGCCTAGAAAGAGATGTTGTTGTCTTGCCTATATACTGGGTTTTTTGGAGCTTACAGCCCCCAAGTGGGCATTTGAAGGCATAGACGACGTTAGTCTCTTTTAAAGCGTTCTGTTTTGTGTCTGGAGAGTTTCTCATGAGAAGGCTGGCCGTTTTTCTGGTTTTATAGTAAATCGTCAGTTGTATCCTCTGATTTTTGTCTGTAGGGATAACGTTTCTATTAACAATATCTTTCAGGACCCTTTCCTCCGTTTTATGAGCTGTGGAAAAGAAGTTCTTGTAAAATAGTCTAATAGGGGGTATAGGTGTTGTGTTAGTTGTCTCTTCAGAGGTTGCATGGCTTTTCACTTTCCTTCTTATGATGTCTTCGATGAAACCATTGGAGAAGCCGTTATTGACTAGGACCTGCCTTACCCTACAGAGTTCTTCGTCGACTTGCTTCCATTCTGAGCTGTGGCTGAGAGCACGGTCGACATATGCGTTAACAACACTCCTTTTGTACCTGTCAGGGCAGTCGCTGTTGGCATTTAGGCACATTCCTATGTTTGTTTCCTTAGTGTAGACTGCAGTGTGGAAACCTCCGCCCTTTTCCATGACTGTTACATCTAGAAAGGGCAGCTTCCCATCCTTTTCCATCTCGTAAGTGAAACGCAGCACGGAACTCTGCTCAAATGCCTCCTTCAGCTCTTGCAGATGTCTGACATCAGGTACCTGTGTAAAAATGTCGTCAACATACCTGCAGTATATGGCCGGTTTCAAGTTCATGTCGACTAAGACTTTTTGCTCGATGGTACCCATGTAGAAGTTTGCAAACAGGACACCTAGGGGAGAACCCATGGCGACCCCATCTACTTGCTTATACATGTGCCCATCCGGGCTCAAGAAGGGTGCCTCTTTAGTACAAGCTTGGAGTAGTTTCCTCAGAATATATTCTGGCATGTCAAGAGGAGTACAGGCTGGATCACGATACACTCTGTCGGCTATCATTCCGATTGTCTCGTCCACAGGTACGTTGGTAAACAGCGATTCTACGTCCAACGAGGCTCTTATCCCTGTGGCCCGTGTGCCCCGCAGTAAGTCAACAAATTCCTTTGGAGACTTCAGGCTGAAGGCGCAAGGATCATAAGGAGTCAGCAGGCCATTGAGTCGCTTCGCCAGTCTGTACGTGGGTGTGGGTATCTGGCTAATGATTGGCCGAAGTGGGTTTCCAGGCTTGTGCGTCTTGACATTTCCATACGCATATCCAGGTTTATATTCCCCAATGATCTTTGGCAGGTGGAGTCCGGATTTCTTGGCGTTCACAGTTTCGATCAGTTTGTTGACCTTTGCTTTTAATTCGGCTGTAGTGTCCTTCGTTACCCTTTGGAACTTAGTTTGGTCAGAGAGTATGATGTTCATTTTCGCCAGATATTCGTCTTTTTTAAGAATGACATATATTGGCGACTTGTCACCTCTCCTGACAACTATCTCCTTGTTCTCACGAAGGCTTTTAGCTGCCGCTTTAAGCTCGGGGGACAGTATGGTGCTTCTGTAGTTGCCTCGATTCTTTCCTCCTTCTGCAATAAGTTCTGCTTGTAAGGTATCTTTGGTAGTGACCTTCTTTTGTGTCTCGAGGTCGAATATGTCGTCCAACAGAATTTCCAACTCTACTTTCCGGGCCATCTCACTCGGTCTGGACATAACATGACAGTTTATGCCCAGATTTAGGAGAGTGACTTGGTCCTCAGTGAGGTTAATTCCTGCAAGGTTCAGGAAGCCATCTCTTGGTCGTGGATTTTCGAATTTTGGAGAATTGATTTTTGATTTACCTCCAACAGTGAAGCGTAATGTACGAAAGATTGAGAAAATTCGTGTTAGAATTATTAATCTTACTTTTTCGGTCATATTTAATAATATATATATATATATATATATATATATATATATATATATATATATATATATATATATATATATATATATATATATATATATATATATATATATATATATATATATATATATATATATATATATATATATGCAACATCTATATAAAGAAAAATGTAAATGTTCGTTTGTTTTTATATACATACTATATAGATGTCATGTCTGTGACAGGAAAAAACACATGCTTTTTTGAAAAACTGTATTTTTCATGTGAGGGAAATCTTCGAAACCTCTTTAAAGATTGCTATGAAATTTTGACACAACGTTGCATTCAAATAGGCGCGTGTTTTTATATTCCTACTATATACATGACTCACCTGTGACAGAAAAATATTTTTTTTTTTTTTTTAAGTAGCGCCATCCGTTGGACGCAAGAGTAACACACGCTGTAACGTTGGACGCAAGAGTAACACACGCTGTAACGTTGGACGCAAGAGTAACACACGCTGTAACGTTGGACGCAAGAGTAACACACGCTGTAACGTTGGACGCAAGAGTAACACACGCTGTAACGTTGGACGCAAGAGTAACACACGCTGTAATCTCCGAAAGTTCTTCACCTTTGCTTTGCTTTGCTTTGAAATTTTGATACAACGTTCCATTCAATACGTGCGTATTTTTATATACAATTTATTTATTTTTATTTTTTATTTAGGTAAGGTACATACATACAATAAATATTTACAAGGATTGTTTAACTTATAGGTATAGCTAGTACATACAATGCCTAAAGCCACTATTACGCAAAGCGTTTCGGGCATAAAATACCTAATATACCTACATAATACCTACTATATACAGGCGAGGAGTCACAATAACGTGGCTGAAATATGTTGATCAAACCACACACTAGAAAGTGAAGGGACGACGGCATTTCGGTCCGTCCTGGGCCATTCTCAAGTCGATTGTGCATTGTCACAATCGACTTGAGAATGGTCCAGGACGGAACGAAACGTCGTCGTCCCTTCACTTTCTAGTGTGTGGTTTGGTCAACCTACTATATACATGCCACACCTGTGACAGGTAAAAACTTGCTTTTTTTCTAAAAACATCGCCATCTGTTGCATGTAAGTGCAACACTCGCAATACTAAATATGTTACAATTCCATTTCAATATTTCCGACTGCATTGATAAATTGAAGTTTCATAGATTTCGATTTATTTCTATTTTGATATAATTATTTTGTGTGACATTGCGTTGGAATTGAGCTGTGTTGTTTACCATACTGTTCATTTCGTGCATAAAGTTTATTTTTTATTTTTTCATTGTTTTTCATTTCGTTTTTTTAACTTTTTCTTATATTTCAATGATGAGAACATCAGGTCATTTTATGTTCCTAATTTTCTGATGGGAACATCAGATCATTTGGTAATGCATCGGACGAAGGAGTGGGGAATGGTGGGGAGGGCGAGGGGATGGGAGAGGGGGATGGTGGGGGAGGACAAGGGAACAGGGTGAGGGGGGGGGGTTAATTGGGAGGAAGAGGGGACAGGGGAGTTGGGGATGGTGGAGACGAGGGGACGGACAGGGGAATGGAGAATGGTGGGGAGGACAAGGGGACAGGAGAGTTGCGGATGGTGGGGGAGGACGAGGGGATGGGGAAAATGAGAATGGTAGGGAGGACGAGAGGACGAATAGACGGTGGAGTGGAGAATGGTTAGGAGAACGATGGGACGGGGGAGTGAGCAATGGTGTGGAGGACGAGGGGACAGGGGAGTGGGGAATGGTTGGGAGGACGAGGGGACAGGGGAGTGGGGAATGGTGTGGAGGACGAGGGGACAGGGGAGTGGGGAATGGTTGGAAGGATGAGGGGATGGGGATTTAAAATAGTGGGGAGGACTGGGAGACACGGAAAGGTTGCTGTGGTTCAGCAACACACACATGCATTGCTCTTCCACAGCAATGCATGGCCAGGGTGCAGCTGTGTTTTTCATGCGAGGGAAATCTTCAAAACCTCTTTACTGATTGCTTTGAAATTTTGACGCAACATTGCACTCGAATACGCGCATGTTTTTATATACCTATTATATACATGCCACACCTGTGACAGGTAAAACAGATTATTTTTTAAAAACAGCGCCATCTGTTGGACGTAAAAGGAACACATGCTATACTAAATATGTTATGATTCCATTTTAGTGTTTCCAATTGCATTGTTAAATTGAATTTTCATAGATTTCAATTTATTTTAATTTTGATTTAATTATTTTGTGACACTGCGTTGGAATTGAGCCGTGTTGTTTACCATACTGTTCATTTCGTGAGTATAGTTTATTTATTTTTGTTTTTTCATTTTTTCATTTCGTTTTTTTTAACTGTTCTCATTTTCTTCATGGGAACATCAGATCATTTGGGAACGCATCGAACGGGGGAGTGGGGAATGGTGGGGAGGACGAGGGGACTGGGGAGGGGGGGATTTTGGGGAAGGACGAGGGGACGGAGGAGGGGTTGCTGCCGCTCAACAACGCCCATGTGTTGCTGAGCCACAGCAACCAGTGGCCGGGTACAACTACTACTGCTAATAATAATTAAAATTAATATAACAAATAATTATTAGGGCAAGACTGACCTTTGGCTCCGACAGAGAGATGACCCAGACACACGATGAGAACCAGCCACTTCATCCTGTGGGAGACACGCCATTACTAACAGCTGGTAGACGGTTGGAACAAGTTAGGTGAGAAGGTGGTGGAGGCCAAGACCGTCAGTAGTTTCAAAGCGTTATATGACAAAGAGTGCTGGGAAGACGGGACACCACGAGCGTAGCTCTCATCCTGTAACTACACTTAGGTAATTACACTTAGGTAATTACAGCTCCCTCAGACACCAGTATGTGTCACACAGCTCTCTCAGGCACTAGTATGTGTCACACAGCTCCCTAAGGCACCAGTATGTGTCACACAGCTCTCTCAGGCACTAGTATGTGTCACACAGCTCCCTCAGGCCCCAGTATGTGTCACACAGCTCTCTCAGGCACCAGTATGTGTCACACAGCTCTCTCAGGCACTAGTATGTGTAACACAGCTCCCTCAGGCACCAGTATGTGTCACACAGCTCTCTCAGGCACCAGTATGTGTCACACAGCTCCCTCAGGCAACAGTATGTGTCACACAGCTCTCTCAGGCACCAGTATGTGTCACACAGCTCCCTCAGGCACCAGTATGTGTCACACAGCTCTCTCAGGCACTAGTATGTGTCACACAGCTCCCTCAGGCCCCAGTATGTGTCACACAGCTCTCTCAGGCACCAGTATGTGTCACACAGCTCCCTCAGGCACCAGTATGTGTCACACAGCTCCCTCAGGCCCCAGTATGTGTCACACAGCTCTCTCAGGCACCAGTATGTGTCACACAGCTCTCTCAGGCACCAGTATGTGTCACACAGCTCCCTCAGGCACCAGTATGTGTCACACAGCTCTCTCAGGCACCAGAATGTGTCACACAGCTCCCTCAGGCCCCAGTATGTGTCACACAGCTCTCTCAGGCACCAGTATGTGTCACACAGCTCCCTCAGGCACCAGTATGTGTCACACAGCTCTCTCAGGCACCAGAATGTGTCACACAGCTCCCTCAGGCCCCAGTATGTGTCACACAGCTCTCTCAGGCACCAGTATGTGTCACACAGCTCCCTCAGGCCCCAGTATGTGTCACACAGCTCTCTCAGGCACCAGTATGTGTCACACAGCTCCCTCAGGCACCAGTATGTGTCACACAGCTCCCTCAGGCCCTAGTATGTGTCACACAGCTCTCTCAGGCACCAGTATGTGTCACACAGCTCTCTCAGGCACCAGTATGTGTCACACAGCTCCCTCAGGCACCAGTATGTGTCACACAGCTCTCTCAGGCACCAGAATGTGTCACACAGCTCCCTCAGGCCCCAGTATGTGTCACACAGCTCTCTCAGGCACCAGTATGTGTCACACAGCTCCCTCAGGCACCAGTATGTGTCACACAGCTCTCTCAGGCACCAGAATGTGTCACACAGCTCCCTCAGGCCCCAGTATGTGTCACACAGCTCTCTCAGGCACCAGTATGTGTCACACAGCTCCCTCAGGCACCAGTATGTGTTACACAGCTCTCTCAGGCCCCAGTATGTGTCACACAGCTCCCTCAGGCACCAGTATGTGTCACACAGCTCTCTCAGGCACCAGTATGTGTCACACAGCTCCCTCAGGCCCCAGTATGTGTCACACAGCTCCCTCAGGCACCAGTATGTGTCACACAGCTCCCTTAGGCACCAGTATGTGTCACACAGCTCTCTCAGGCACCAGTATGTGTCACACAGCTCTCTCAGGCACCAGTATGTGTCACACAGCTCCCTCAGGCCCCAGTATGTGTCACACAGCTCTCTCAGGCACCAGTATGTGTCACACAGCTCTCTCAGGCACCAGTATGTGTCTCACAGCTCCCTCAGGCACCAGTATGTGTCTCACAGCTCCCTCAGGCACCAGTATGTGTCTCACAGCTCCCTCAGGCACCAGTATGTGTCTCACAGCTCCCTCAGGCACCAGTATGTGTCTCACAGCCCCTCTCACATCTCCTGGCGCCTATTTACTTATAGGTGAACAGCGGCATTAGGTAAAAGATAACACGTACAATCATTTCTTTTCCGCCGGGAAACAAGCCCGGGATTCCGGATTATGAGCCGGGGTTGTTCACCCAGGAGGGTTGTTGAACAAGCCAGGAGGGTTGTTGAACAAGCCAGGAGGGTTGTTGAACAAGCCAGGAGGGTTGTTGAACAAGCCAAGAGGGTTGTTGAACAAGCCAGGAGGGTTGTTGAACAAGCCAGGAGGGTTGTTGAACAAGCCAGGAGGGTTGTTGAACAAGCCAGGAGGGTTGTTGAACAAGACAGGAGGGTTGTTGAACAAGCCAGGAGGGTTGTTGAACAAGCCAGGAGGGTTGTTGAACAAGCCAGGAGGGTTGTTGAACAAGCCAGGAGGGTTGTTGAACAAGCCAGGAGGGTTGTTGAACAAGCCAGGAGGGTTGTTGAACAAGCCAGGAGGGTTGTTGAACAAGCCAGGAGGGTTGTTGAACAAGCCAAGAGGGTTGTTGAACAAGCCAGGAGGGTTGTTGAACAAGACAGGAGGGTTGTTGAACAAGCCAAGAGGGTTGTTGAACAAGTCAGGAGGGTTGTTGAACAAGCCAGGAGGGTTGTTGAACAAGCTAGGAGGGTTGTAGTGACCTGAAAGGGTCCCTTCAGCAGTCTCCAGTTAATTTTTTTAATTAACTGTGTTCTAGTTAGTTGAAGGGGTCCACTCCATCCGCCTCCAGTCAGTTAACTGTTGTATGGTGACCCCTGAAGGGTCCACTCCAGCGTCATACTGGGTACCAGAATGAGCGCCAACAGGTAGACGACCCGACCAGAGGACAACTAATGCTCCGTCAGACGACTTCAAGACAAATCCGCAAAAAATAGAGAATAATCCGCCTTATGATCCAACCCACTTACGTGGAATGAATAGAGCAAGGACGTTTCCCTCCCTCCAGGACATTTATTATGTGATCACGAGGACGTTTCGGTTCATCCTGGACTCTTATCGTGTTACTCTTGATAAGGGTCCACGATAGACCGAAACGTCGCCCCATTAGCGTACAGAAAGGACCGAAACGTCGCCCCATTAGCATACAGAAAGGACCGAAACGTCGCCCCATTAGCGTACAGAAAGGACCGAAACGTCGCCCCATTAGCGTACAGAAAGGACCGAAACGTCGCCCCATAAGCGTCCAGCAAGGACCGAAACGTCAACCACTTCCTCTACTTTCATGAATGGTTTTGTTACGTGTTTCCGAGAGACTGTGAGTGTGTGGAGGGGCGGTGGAGCCCATACATCACCTCACTAGTACACCGGCGTCGTCAACACTTCCAGGTCTGCAGGTACACTTGACACTACCCGGCCAGCCACGAACTGTGGTCCCCACTGCTGCCTGGGTTTTATACCCCTCAGTGACTTTCTACCTGGGTTATCCTACGAGTGTCGGGGACTTGTTATAAATAGTTCCTACAGGACTTCCTCGTCTCTCCAGCAGCCGCCGCAGAAAGTTACCTGGAGGCTGAAGTTGCTGTTACACTGTGGTTCTACTTCTGGAGACTGGTTCTACGTCTGGATTAACCCTGGGATTGACCGGTACACGGCAGGATAATAACATTTTCCACTTGAAGGACGAGCAAAACCCAGAATTAAATGGGCCGCAAATAGTAAGATCAATTAATATTCCATACAGTTTCCTGCTGCGGGATGTATGAGGAAAATAGTGAGAGGTGGAGTATATTTAGTGTGGTGGAGGCTGGTGTGTGAGGGTGTGGGTGTGAGGGTGTGTGGGTGTAACACGCCACAGTGGACGGTTCATCCACCCACTGAAGGCTGACAACAGTTCCAAGCACCAAGGCAGATGCTGTAGACTCTCCTCACAGCCTCTACCCCTCACACTTGTGGCTCAAGGGTTCCGCTACACAATAAGACTCGTTTAGTGATGAAGCAACTCAATATATTTATACAAAAATACATAGATGACCCCTAAGAACTACTGTACAACAATATATGACCTTTCAGGTGGTTCCAAGAGACGGTGACAAAGATTTCCAAATAAATTAACATTGATCATCCCACAGGCTGACCACAGAGGGCGTTCACAGCGCCATCCCCGCGGCGTGGCTGGCTCCTGAGGGAGGAACCCCGCAGCAGGAGTGAGATCTAGCCGCACAGGGGCGGGAAGGAGGCGCCGTTGACGGTGCAGTAGAAGGAGACGGAGAAGGTAGTGGAGCTGTTGATGGAGGTGGTGGTGACGGTGTAGACGGAGGTGGTGGTGCTCCAGATAGTGAGGGCGATGCGGCCCTCCCGGCCCCCTGACGACGACAGCTCCGGCACTGAGCCGTGCAGCTCTTCACTGTAACAAAAACATTCCTGATAAGAGACGGCGCGTCGGAACGGCAGCCACGCCGGCCAATATTATCAAACATTAAAGTACATGTGAGTGTGGACCCACTTCCGGTACACCGAGTCGTTTAATATCATGCAAATGTTAACTGTTGTCACCATCAGTGGGGTGTGAGGTGTGCTGGACAGCACTCCCACCAGCACACCACACATACGGGCCCGAGTTCAAGCCCGGGGCGCGGCGACGGAGGAAGCATGTAAGTTTAGGTTAGGGTTTCGGGAAATGAAAGCTTAGGTTATTATGAAAAGAACCAGAACTCATCAGCTCATGCGCATTTAGGTGTCAACAAATGTATATCTGTAAGAATGTTTGTCTGTCTGTCTGTCTGTCCATGCGGGACTGGAGGCCAGATAGTTGCGCTTTGCAACACGCAACTTTTAATGGTGACTTGTGATTGAATGGGGAATGTCATAGGGTGGTTGGGGTCGGCCCCCCATGTCCCGCTTAAGTAGGAGTGACTCCTATTGCGACAACCAACATGTCCTATGAGATGTCAAATATGGGACTTGTGTGTTCATAAAGAACTTTCAAACATAGTTAACGACTGTTATCGACGTTGCATCAACGTCGATAAATGGATGGATAAACGGATAGATAAGTGCATAAACGGATAGATAAACGGATATATAGGTGTTCCAGCTAGGAGTAAGTGAGGAAGGTGGTGGCATACTCACTAGTCATTCTCCAGCCCCCAGTTGTTGACTGATGAGTACCGCTTGTAGCGACGGCGCTGGCAGACCTTTGCGTTAATGACGAGGGCGCAGGTGTAGGGCGTGACGGTGGTGGAGGTGGTGAAGGAGATGGCTGTTTTGGTCGACCTGGCTGCCACGATCCTCGCATCTTCCTCGCTGCGTCCTGTTCAGTACAGATACTCTTATGGTCATGTGGACTATGTAATCACACGAAGACACGCACACAGTGTGTCCAGGAAGATCCTTAAGGTATGGTATACCAATGCAGAAGCAGTTACAAATAAAGCAGAGGAAATTAAAGAAAGGGTTAAAGAAAAGGAACCTAAGATTATTGCAATAGTGGAAACCAAAATATGCGAAATGATCTTTGATGCAATATTTCCAGATAATAATATTACCTTGAGGCCAAGTAATATCTCAAGTATTTCTTGCCCGAAATGTTGTGTGTATTAGCAGCTTCATACATAATATACACTAGCTCTGTCTACAAATCCACATTCTGCTTCTAACTAATTTTGTATGTAGGTACTTTTACTTAAATAAATAATAATAATAATAATTATTATTATTTATTATTATTATTATATAATTAATAATACGAGAGAGGAAGCAAACTAGGGAGCAAGAGTTCCATTTCTAGTCAAAAGAAAGTGAACGTTTGAGGAAGTTGAAGATATTAATTAAAATGGATACACAGAAGACTATATGATTGACATCAGATGGAACAAAGATAAGGTTGACAACACACAACCCTCAAGCAAACAACAGAAGACTCTGAGAGGAATAATAGAACACACAACACGCACATATGACCTGCCAGAGGACAGGACAGAGACGATTGGGCTGCAGTACCGCAGAATTAAGCTGGAGGCAGTTGTAAATAAAATGACATCAGCAGCAAGCCCTACAGTGAGACACGCAAGAACATCGTCCAGGAACTTAAATTAGAACTCGTTGAGACTGAAGTACACTACCTACGTGAGACCAGTTTTAGAGTATGCAGCCCCATCTTGGAGGCCCATCTAAAAAAAAAAACACTTGAGAATACCAGAAGAGGTTCAGAAGTTTGCAAAGAGGCAAGTTACGGAATTGCAAGTTATGAGGGTTGAAGAAAGACTGAAAGAACTAGACTTAATGTAACTAGAGAAATGGAGAGAGAGAGAGAGAGAACACATGGTAGAGATTTTTATAAAATACTTAAGGGGATTAACAAAGTGGAAAATGAAGAGATGCTCAAAATGAACACCAAAATAGCAAGAAGCCATATATGTAAGCTTACAAGAGGCCATATATGTAAACTTACAAGAGGCCATATATGTAAACTTACAAGAGGCCATATATGTAAGCTTACAAGAGGCCATATATGTAAACTTACAAGAGGCCATATATGTAAGCTTACAAGAGGCCATATATGTAAGCTTACAAGAGGCCATATATGTAAGCTTACAAGAGGCCATATATGTAAGCTTACAAGAGGCCATATATGTAAGCTTACAAGAGGCCATATATGTAAGCTTACAAGAGGCCATATATGTAAACTTACAAGAGGCCATATATGTAAGCTTACAAGAGGCCATATATGTAAGCTTACAAGAGGCCATATATGTAAGCTTACAAGAGGCCATATATGTAAGCTTACAAGAGGCCATATATGTAAGCTTACAAGAGGCCATATATGTAAGCTTACAAGAGGCCATATATGTAAGCTTACAAGAGGCCATATATGTAAGCTTACAAGAGGCCATATATGTAAGCTTACAAGAGGCCATATATGTAAACTTACAAGAGGCCATATATGTAAGCTTACAAGAGGCCAGGTATGTAAACTTACAAGAGGCCATATATGTAAACTTACAAGAGGCCATATATGTAAACTTACAAGAGGCCATATATGTAAGCTTACAAGAGGCCATATATGTAAACTTACAAGAGGCCATATATGTAAGCTTACAAGAGGCCATATATGTAAACTTACAAGAGGCCATATATGTAAGCTTACAAGAGGCCATATATGTAAACTTACAAGAGGCCATATATGTAAGCTTACAAGAGGCCATATATGTAAGCTTACAAGAGGCCATATATGTAAGCTTACAAGAGGCCATATATGTAAGCTTACAAGAGGCCATATATGTAAGCTTACAAGAGGCCATATATGTAAGCTTACAAGAGGCCATATATGTAAGCTTACAAGAGGCCATATATGTAAACTTACAAGAGGCCATATATGTAAGCTTACAAGAGGCCAGGTATGTAAACTTACAAGAGGCCATATATGTAAACCTACAAGAGGCCATATATGTAAGCTTACAAGAGGCCATATATGTAAGCTTACAAGAGGCCATATATGTAAGCTTACAAGAGGCCATATATGTAAGCTTACAAGAGGCCATATATGTAAGCTTACAAGAGGCCATATATGTAAACTTACAAGAGGCCATATATGTAAGCTTACAAGAGGCCAGGTATGTAAACTTACAAGAGGCCATATATGTAAACCTACAAGAGGCCATATATGTAAGCTTACAAGAGGCCATATATGTAAGCTTACAAGAGGCCATATATGTAAGCTTACAAGAGGCCATATATGTAAGCTTACAAGAGGCCAGGTATGTAAACTTACAAGAGGCCATATATGTAAACCTACAAGAGGCCATATATGTAAGCTTACAAGAGGCCAGGTATGTAAACCTACAAGAGGCCATATATGTAAACCTACAAGAGGCCATATATGTAAGCTTACAAGAGGCCAGGTATGTAAACTTACAAGAGGCCATATATGTAAGCTTACAAGAGGCCATATATGTAAGCTTACAAGAGGCCAGGTATGTAAACCTACAAGAGGCCATATATGTAAACCTACAAGAGGCCATATATGTAAACTTACAAGAGGCCATATATGTAAACCTACAAGAGGCCATATATGTAAACCTACAAGAGGCCATATATGTAAACTTACAAGAGGCCATATATGTAAACCTACAAGAGGCCATATATGTAAACTTACAAGAGGCCATATATGTAAGCTTACAAGAGGCCATATATGTAAACTTACAAGAGGCCATATATGTAAACCTACAAGAGGCCATATATGTAAACTTACAAGAGGCCATATATGTAAACTTACAAGAGGCCAGGTATGTAAACCTACAAGAGGCCATATATGTAAACCTACAAGAGGCCATATATGTAAACTTACAAGAGGCCATATATGTAAGCTTACAAGAGGCCAGGTATGTAAACCTACAAGAGGCCATATATGTAAACCTTCAAGAGGCCATATATGTAAGCTTACAACCAGCAACCTCCAATTACCAATCTATATCTGTAGCGGTTGAGGTCACGTGATTCTAGTAAGCTTAAGAGCTACACTGAGATGAATGGAATCAGTGAAGCCTTTATCAATAAAATTTCGGAAAATTAAAGTGCCTTTTTCGGGAATACTGATAACAGGGACCTGGATACTGAGCTGTGTGACAGTTTCTGGCCAGCCCGTCCTCCTGTTGAGGAAGCACGTATAGAGACGATGAGCGACTTCTCAATAGACTTGAGAATGGTCCAGGACGGACCGAAACGTCGTCGTCCCTTCACCTTCTAGTGTGTGGTCTGGTCAACATAGTATATATATACCGACCTTCAACGTAATTGGAAAGTAGAAATCGGTACTATTGAAGTTGGACAAATTGGAAAAGATTTTCTATTTATGTTGCAAAGTCAAACTAAACTATGCCAACCTAAGATGAGTACACGCTATCTAATACACGCTATCTAAGAGTGAATTATTTGTGTGGTTGACTATCTGGTTGGGTGTGGCAGAGATGGCTGGGTGTGGCAGAGATGGCTGGGTGTGGCAGAGATGGCTGGGTGTGCCAGAGATGGCTGGGTGTGGCAGAGATGGCTGGGTGTGGCAGAGATGGCTGGGTGTGGCAGAGATGGCTGGGTGTGGCAGAGATGGCTGGGTGTGGCAGAGATGGCTGGGTGTGCCAGAGATGGCTGGGTGTGGCAGAGATGGCTGGGTGTGGCAGAGATGGCTGGGTGTGGCAGAGATGGCTGGGTGTGCCAGAGATGGCTGGGTGTGGCAGAGATGGCTGGGTGTGGCAGAGATGGCTGGGTGTGTCAGAGATGGCTGGGTGTGGCAGAGATGGCTGGGTGTGGCAGAGATGGCTGGGTGTGCCAGAGATGGCTGGGTGTGGCAGAGATGGCTGGGTGTGCCAGAGATGGCTGGGGGTGCCAGAGATGGCTGGGTGTGCCAGAGATGGCCGAGTGTGCCAGAGATGGCTGGGTGTGGCAGAGATGGCTGGGTGTGCCAGAGATGGCTGGGGGTGCCAGAGATGGCTGGGTGTGCCAGAGATGGCTGGGTGTGGCAGAGATGGCTGGGTGTGCCAGAGATGGCTGGGGGTGCCAGAGATGGCTGGGGGTGCCAGAGATAGCTGGGTGTGGCAGAGATGGCTGGGTGTGCCAGAGATGGCTGGGTGTGGCAGAGATGGCTGGGTGTGCCAGAGATGGCTGGGGGTGCCAGAGATGGCTGGGTGTGGCAGAGATGGCTGGGTGTGGCAGAGATGGCTGGGTGTGGCAGAGATGGCTGGGTGTCCCACACCAGACGGAACACTTGGGCTCAGTATCACTCAGCCATAACCAGCACTAAGAAAGAGGATGATAACATGGCGAGGCCAAAAGTTCCATAACATAACAAGAGATAACATAGGAGATAACATAACAAGAGATAACATAGGAGATAACATTACAAGAGAAAAGTTATATGAACTTTTGGGTGAAATAACAAAGATACAAAGTTCACACAGAAGGGGTTGTGAAGGTTATGAACTCGGGGACCAAGATGTTGTAATGTTTTCCAAGAGAAATATTCAACATTGAACAACATTGTTAGATACGGGAGTAGTTTAGTCTAAACCACCTAACAACACCTGTGGCACCCACCTGCATACCCCCTGCCCCCCATAATATTAAACACCTGTGGCAACACTGTAACCCCCTGTTATTACAGGTTGCTACAGTGTCCAGGTGTTGAGAAAAGTTGTATGAAAGCTAAAATGGGAGTTATGATAGTTCCTTAAACATATACTGAGACAACCTTGAATACGGAACACGGTAACAGTATGTCTGTATGTGTGTCTTACAGGCTCAGTCTCTCTCTCTCTCTCTCTCTCTCTCTCTCTCTCTCTCTCTCTCTCTCTCTCTCTCTCTCTCTCTCTCTCTCTGCCAGGGTACAGCACCAGCTGTATCACACACCTCTGTATATTGTTAGTGTTAGGAGTAGTAACTTTTAGTGTTAGTGTTAGGAGCTATGTTAGTGACATAGCTCGAGTGCAATTGTGTAAAATCTTGGTTTATGTCTCGGAGAGGCTGCAGGATCCAAGTAAATTCAGTAGAATTTTTGGTTGTAATTCTTATACCATGTCGTAGCTCAGTCGATTAAGGCAGCGTCTGGGATGCTCTCGGACGCAGGTTCGAATCCGCGTCACGGTCCTTGTGGATTTGTTCACCTTTGTACTTGTTCCTAATGTAAAGAACTATGGAGCTTCTATGTCCTACTGTGTTAACTACTCAGCTGTTGCCCTAATCACACTGTCAATCAGTGTATGTGATTATATACTCATTGACTTTCCAGATTCAAACACCTCTGCCTTTCAGAGTGTATACCAATCACTTTACTCTACAAAGCTCTGTATTTTGTGGTGAGGTAAACTACTCGCCACAACATCTAACACGGTAGTTCTCTCTCTCTCTCTCTCTCTTGGTGCTCCAAAGCTTTTGACAAAGATGAACACGCCAAATGTTTTAGATAATTGCTGAACAGAAAATTTTGTCCCGTCATTGGTAGATATCGCTATATTTCTTATCAGGTATACATATTAGCTGTGAAATGTCGTGTCCTCTGAACATTTCTCACTAAATGTCGTGTCCTCTGAACATTTCTCACTAAATGTCGTGTCCTCTGAATATTTCTCACTAAATGTCGTGTCCTCTGAATATTTCTCACTAAATGTCGTGTCCTCTGAATATTTCTCACTAAATGTCGTGTCCTCTGAATACTTCTCACTAAATGTCGTGTCCTCTGAATATTTCTCACTAAATGTCATGTCCTCTGAATACTTCTCACTAAATGTCGTGTCCTCTGAACATTTCTCACTAAATGTCGTGTCCTCTGAATACTTCTCACTAAATGTCGTGTCCTCTGAATATTTCTCACTAAATGTCGTGTCCTCTGAATATTTCTCACTAAATGTCGTGTCCTCTGAATATTTCTCACTAAAAATGGGGGTCAAACAAGGTGATGTTTTTAGTACTCTATTATTTGCTGTCTATCTTGATCCATTGTTGACAGAGATAAGAGTCAGTCGAGGTGACAGTCCCATAAGCAGTACTAAGCTGAGGGCTGAGCCACTAGGCTAAGCTGACACCGGGGGCCATTAAGCTGACACCGGGGGCGGGGGGGGGGTGTTACGGAGGACGCTTCATGGACAACGCCATCTATTGGTGGTGGCGTGATACCTGTAAATGGCTCAAGATTCCTGCCTTGGCTGGCAAGTGAGGTCATTGTGGATGACCTCTGGTGAGGTGGCGACTCAAGATCAGCGCCATCTAGGTTGTGCTACGGAGCACTATATCAACGTCCCCAGTGAATAAGTGTTACTTCTTGGTTTCACCAATACTGTCCAATAACTGATGACGTGTTTTCGTCCACAGAGGTGACGTGGGGCAGCAGTGGTACTGAGGACGGCAGGATACCTTGGGCAGCCTAAGCTCTCTCGACTTAGTCCCGCCAGACGATTAAATAAGCCGCCGCCGATCAGAAGCAGCGTGTGTTGTCTGCAATTGGAGTAGCATTGGAAGAGATCGGCGTATCCCGGGACTGGCTAAGTGTAGAGACGAGCAACTGTGAGGTACCTGTTGAGGATTGTTACTAGCCAGTCGCTAGAGGCTTCTGCCAGGGGTTCGCTACCCCTGTATTGATTGCGTAGTGGCCCCAATCAGTGCCTGGCTGAGGTTCTCTGCCAGAACTTGGCTGGAGAGTGGTCGTGGGGTAGAGGTACCTCGTGATACTGTCGGTAGGCTGGCCCACGGGAAAGGTAACCTCGCCAGTGTTTCCCAGTACTGTCGTGTAGTGGAAAGACGGGGATTGACGGAGGCTGCACTGTGTGAGCGTCTTGGAGTGTTCACGACACTGTGCGAAAGCGACACTTGGAATATTACTACACTTGTACTTATATACATTTATATATATATATATATATATATATATATATATATATATATATATCTATTTATGGTGAATATATTGGTGAAGGAAACAGTGTTTTGTTCATTCCCCCTGTGTTATTAATCGTGCATTATCCGGCCAATTCCTTGACAACGACGACCGACTCGCAGTCGGATACTCAAACAAGTTCATACATCAAGAACCCGGTTACTGGTCCTACGTGGCCGTAATAGAGGGCCACTTAGCTGACACTGGGGGGCCACTAAGCTGACACCGGGGGCCACTAAGCTGACACCGGGGGCCACTAAGCTGACACCGGGGGCCACTAAGCTGACACCGGGGGGCCACTAAGCTGACACCGGGGGGCCACTAAGCTGACACCGGGGGGCCACTAAGCTGACACTGGGGGGCCACTAAGCTGACACTGGGGGGCCACTAAGCTGACACCGGGGGCAACTAAGCTGACACTGGGGGGCCACTTAGCTGACACTGGGGGCCACTAAGCTGACACCGGGGGCCACTAAGCTGACACCGGGGGGCCACTAAGCTGACACCGGGGGGCCACTAAGCTGACACTGGGGGCCACTAAGCTGACACTGCGGGGCCACTAAGCTGACACCGGGGGCAACTAAGCTGACACTGGGGGGCCACTTAGCTGACACTGGGGGGCCACTAAGCTGACACCGGAGGGCCACTAAGCTGACACTGGGGGGCCACTAAGCTGACACTGGGGGGCCACTAAGCTGACACCGGGGGCAACTAAGCTGACACTGGGGGGCCACTTAGCTGACACTGGGGGGCCACTAAGCTGACACCGGGGGCCACTAAGCTGACACCGGGGGCCACTAAGCTGACACCGGGGGGCCACTAAGCTGACACTGGGGGGCCACTAAGCTGACACTGGGGGGCCACTAAGCTGACACCGGGGGCAACTAAGCTGACACTGGGGGGCCACTTAGCTGACACTGGGGGGCCACTAAGCTGACACCGGGGGCCACTAAGCTGACACCGGGGGGCCACTAAGCTGACACCGGGGGGCCACTAAGCTGACACTGGGGGGCCACTAAGCTGACACCGGGGGCCACTAAGCTGACACTGGGGGGCCACTAAGCTAACACTGGTGGCCACTAAGCTGAGGGCTGACACCGGGGGCCACTAAGCTGAGGGCTGACGCCGGGGGCCACTAAGTTGAGGGCTGACACCGGGGGCCAATAAGCTGAGGGCTGACGCCGGAGGCCACTAAGCTGACACCGGGGGCCAATAAGCTGAGGGCTGACGCCGGAGGCCATTAAGCTGACACCGGGGGCCAATAAGCTGAGGGCTGACACCAGGGGCCACTAAGCTGAGGGCTGACGCCGGGGCCCACTAAGCTGACGCCGGGGGCCACTAAGCTGACACTGGGGGGCCACTAAGCTGACACCGGGGGCCACTAAGCTGACACTGGGGGGCCACTAAGCTGACACTGGGGGCCACTAAGTTGACACTGGGGGGCCACTAAGCTGACACTGGGTGGCCACTAAGCTGACACTGGGTGGCCACTAAGCTGACACTGGGTGGCCACTAAGCTGACACTGGGTGGCCACTAAGCTGACACTGGTGGCCACTAAGCTAACACTGGGGGCCACTAAGCTGACACTGGGTGGCCACTAAGCTGACACTGGTGGCCACTAAGCTAACACTGGTGGCCACTAAGCTAACACTGGGGGCCACTAAGCTGACACTGGGTGGCCACTAAGCTGACACTGGTGGCCACTAAGCTGACACTGGTGGCCACTAAGCTGAGGGCTGACACCGGGGGCCACTAAGCTGAGGGCTGACGCCGGGGGCCACTAAGTTGAGGGCTGACGCCGGGGGCCAATAAGCTGAGGGCTGACGCCGGAGGCCACTAAGCTGACACCGGGGGCCAATAAGCTGAGGGCTGACGCCGGAGGCCATTAAGCTGACACCGGGGGCCAATAAGCCGAGGGCTGACACCAGGGGCCACTAAGCTGAGGGCTGACGCCGGGGCCCACTAAGCTGACGCCGGGGGCCACTAAGCTGAGGGCTGACGCCGGGGGCCACTAAGCTGAGGACTGACGCCGGGGCCCACTAAGCTGACGCCGGGGGCCACTAAGCTGAGGGCTGACGCCGGGGGCCACTAAGCTGACGCCGGGGGCCACTAAGCTGACGCCGGGGGCCACTAAGCTGAGGGCTGACACCGGGGGCCACTAAGCTGAGGGCTGACACCGGGGGCCACTAAGCTGAGGGCTGACACCGGGGGCCACTAAGCTGAGGGCTGACACCGGGGGCCACTAAGCTGAGGGCTGACGCCGGGGGCCACTAAGCTGACGCCGGGGGCCACTAAGCTAAGGGCTGACACCGGGGGCCACTAAGCTGAGGGCTGACACCGGGGGCCACTAAGCTGAGGGCTGACGCCGGGGGCTACTCACCATGTGTCGGGGTGGAGAGGAGACAGAGCGCCAGCAACACAACCAGGGGAGCCATGATGGTCCTGGAACACAAACACACACATTAGCCCACCCAGCCACGACCTGCGGGGTGGTAACACTCCACCACAACACTTAACCACTAAAACACTCTACAACTAAAATACGTCACTAAAACTCTTCTCCACTAAAGCACTCCACTACAACACCACTACAACACTCCACTACAACACTCCACTACAACACTACTACAACACTCCACTACAACACACCACCACAACACTCCACTACAACACTCGCCTGTTCATCACCAACATCTGTCGACACAGTTGTACAGCTGTCCGCTCCTGCACCTCGACCTCTGTACCACCAACTGCTGTCACCAGGGACGCTACCGGAGTGTCGACCTGAGTACCGGAGTGTCGAACCGGCTACCGGAGTATCCAAGTGAGTACCGGAGTGTGGAACTTGGTACTGGTGGACGAGGGTGGAGGAGAGAGGGGCTCACTACAAGCTCTCCCCGTTATATACTCTTGTGGCTTACTGCTGGTTTTTTTGTTTTCAAGACGTGACGTTGGCACATCCTCCCTGGCCAACTGTTGACCCAAAACGGAAAACTGTTTTTAAAAAATTCTCTTCGTCTCGTATTCTGGACAACAACACACAATATGACGATGATCCGGTGGACGAGCAAATATATAATTGGTAAAATATTCAACTATGTCATTGGTAAAACCTCTTAGCCACTAAAGAATAAATTCGAAAAAAATAAAAAACGAATTTTAGAGGCAAGTTTCCTGGTAAAGTTTGGATGGGGTGGCGAACAGTGGGCTATATTTAGCAGCGGGGCCGTTGTTGGACCAGCAGGGGCCCAGGGTCGCCGTCGACCGTGGCTCCCCGCGCGTCTCAGACCTGCTCCTCACATTACCTTTATACCGTCAAGACTCCGGCGCTCTGCTGGTAACTCACTGGAACAAATCCACAAGGGCCGTGACGAGGATTCGAACCTGCGTCCGGGAGCATCCCAGACACTGCCTTAATCGACTGAGCTACGACAGGGTTAAAAAGAGTTGAAATCGAAGTTCTACTGAACTTACTGGATCCCGTAGCCTCTCCGAGGCACAAACCAGGATTTTACACAACTTCCCCCTGCACCCGAGCTATGTCAATGCAGTGTCTGGGATGCTCCCGGACGCAGGTTCGAATCCTCGTCACGGCCCTTGTGGATTTGTTCATTTGATGCATCACGTTAGTGTGATCTCTGTGTGCAATGATGTAAGGGCGAAGAGGAAGAACGGCCTGTTGACATAGCTCGGGTGCAGGGGGGGGGGGGGATTATTTTGTTGCCGCCGACGACGGCTAGTTTATTGGTCACCCCATACTCATCCTGTGAGCGGTAGTTTATTGGTCACCCCATACTCATCCTGTGAGCGGTAGTTTATTGGTCACCCCATACTCATCCTGTGAGCGGTAGTTTATTGGTCACCCCATACTCATCCTGTGAGCGGTAGTTTATTGGTCACCCCATACTCATCCTGTGAGCGGTAGTTTATTGGTCACCCCATACTCATCCTGTGAGCGGTAGTTTATTGGTCACCCCATACTCATCCTGTGAGCGGTAGTTTATTGGTCACCCCATACTCATCCTGTGAGCGGTAGTTTATTGGTCACCCCATACTCATCCTGTGAGCGGTAGTTTATTGGTCACCCCATACTCATCCTGTGAGCGGTAGTTTATTGGTCACCCCATACTCATCCTGTGAGCGGTAGCGCAAAAACATTACAGAGGGCACATCAGACCTCATCTTAGATTATTACATAAACAATTTCTTCAATCCTTCACACCTTATAGTTACAATGTCAGATAGTTACAGAGAAAGTGCTATTACAAGAGCTATATATTTACAGTAAGTCATCATACATTAATGGTAGGTCTTATCGCTAATACATAATAGTTTGACCAATGGGGATATTACAGAGTCATAGGGGAGCTTCTGTTTATTATTAGTCCTCACAATACACTACTTGTTTCTGAATCTCATATGTCGGTCATCTACTGGAAGCGAAATATGGGTACAGTGCAAGGATTTCAGGTAATTTATCCATGGTAATAAGATAGGTTGCCATATCATACAGAGTGAGCTTAAATTTATCTCTAAATGGCTCAATTTTACTACAATCCAAGATATAGTGTTGGAGTGTGTGTCCCTGCCTATGTCCACACACTTTACACTTTACTTCATCTAGATCCCTATACAAGCCGAACTGCCAGAGATACTTGTAGCCAAGTCTTATACGAGCTGTGACAACATCTGTTAGTCTACTGACTTTGTTACTTGCCCCATACACATGTTTTACTTCACTCATTTCATTGTGATGAACAATGGACCTGCTAGTTCCAGTTTGCACTGTTCTACTTTCTTCAAATCCATCCAGGAGTTCTCGTCTAATGACACTTTTAAGGGACCTATTTGATAACTCAAGATTCCGTTCAATACTGTCATTATTTACTGCAGCCTTAGCAAGGGCGTCAACTTTTTCATGTTCCTGCAGGCCAATGTGAGAAGGAATCCACAACATTTTTATATTTACTAAGTATTCTTATATATCTACGTCTAGCTTAATGGAGTTGTGTAAAATCCTGGTTTGTGCCTCGGAGAGGCTACGGGATCCAGTAAGTTCAGTAGAACTTCGGTTTCAACTCTGTTTAACCATGTCGTAGCTCAGTCGATTAAGGCAGTGTCTGGGATGCTCCCGGACGCAGGTTCGAATCCTCGTCACGGCCCTTGTGGATTTGTTCATTTGATGCATCACGTTAGTGTGATCTCTGTGTGTAATACCCACTGGAACTCTACTTGTAAACTGGGAGTATACCCACTGGGGGTTCTGCTTGCAAGCAAGGAGTATACCCACTGGAGCTCTGCTTGCAAGCAAGGAGTATACCCACTGGGGTTCTGCTTGCAAGCAAGGAGTATACCCACTGGAGCTCTGCTTGCAAGCAAGGAGTATACCCGCTGGAGCTCTGCTTGCAAGCAAGGAGTATACCCGCTGGAGCTCTGCTTGCAAGCAAGGAGTATACCCGCTGGAGCTCTGCTTGCAAGCAAGGAGTATACCCGCTGGAGCTCTGCTTGCAAGCAAGGAGTATACCCGCTGGGACTCTGCTTGTAAGCAAGGAGTATAACCACTGGGGATCTGCTTGTAAGCAAGGAGTATACCCACTGGAGCTCTGCTTGCAAGCAAGGAGTATACCCGCTGGAGCTCTGCTTGCAAGCAAGGAGTATACCCGCTGGAGCTCTGCTTGCAAGCAAGGAGTATACCCGCTGGAGCTCTGCTTGCAAGCAAGGAGTATACCCGCTGGAGCTCTGCTTGCAAGCAAGGAGTATACCCGCTGGAGCTCTGCTTGCAAGCAAGGAGTATACCCACTGGGACTCTGCTTGTAAGCAAGGAGTATAACCACTGGGGATCTGCTTGTAAGCAAGGAGTATACCCACTGGAGCTCTGCTTGCAAGCAAGGAGTATACCCACTGGGACTCTGCTTGTAAGCAAGGAGTATAACCACTGGGGATCTGCTTGTAAGCAAGGAGTATACCCACTGGAGCTCTGCTTGTAAGCAAGGAGTATAACCACTGGGGATCTGCTTGTAAGCAAGGAGTATACCCACTGGGACTCTGCTTGTAAGCAAGGAGTATAACCACTGGAGCTCTGCTTGCAAGCAAGGAGTATACCCACTGGAGCTCTGCTTGCAAGCAAGGAGTATACCCGCTGGAGCTCTGCTTGCAAGCAAGGAGTATACCCACTGGAGCTCTGCTTGCAAGCAAGGAGTATACCCACTGGAGCTCTGCTTGCAAGCAAGGAGTATACCCACTGGAGCTCTGCTTGCAAGCAAGGAGTATACCCACTGGAGCTCTGCTTGCAAGCAAGGAGTATACCCACTGGAGCTCTGCTTGCAAGCAAGGAGTATACCCACTGGAGCTCTGCTTGCAAGCAAGGAGTATACCCACTGGAGCTCTGCTTGCAAGCAAGGAGTATACCCACTGGGACTCTGCTTGTAAGCAAGGAGTATAACCACTGGGGATCTGCTTGCAAGCAAGGAGTATACCCACTGGGACTCTGCTTGTAAGCAAGGAGTATACCCACTGGGACTCTGCTTGTAAGCAAGGAGTATAACCACTGGGGATCTGCTTGCAAGCAAGGAGTATACCCACTGGGACTCTGCTTGTAAGCAAGGAGTATACCCACTGGGACTCTGCTTGTAAGCAAGGAGTATAACCACTGGGACTCTGCTTGTAAGCAAGGAGTATAACCACTGGGGATCTGCTTGCAAGCAAGGAGTATACCCACTGAAGCTCTGCTTGCAAGCAAGGAGTATACCCACTGGAGCTCTGCTTGCAAGCAAGGAGTATACCCACTGGAGCTCTGCTTGCAAGCAAGGAGTATACCCGCTGGAGCTCTGCTTGCAAGCAAGGAGTATACCCACTGGGACTCTGCTTGCAAGCAAGGAGTATACCCGCTGGAGCTCTGCTTGCAAGCAAGGAGTATACCCACTGGGACTCTGCTTGCAAGCAAGGAGTATACCCGCTGGAGCTCTGCTTGCAAGCAAGGAGTATACCCGCTGGAGCTCTGCTTGCAAGCAAGGAGTATACCCGCTGGAGCTCTGCTTGCAAGCAAGGAGTATACCCGCTGGAGCTCTGCTTGCAAGCAAGGAGTATACCCGCTGGAGCTCTGCTTGCAAGCAAGGAGCATACCCGCTGGAGCTCTGCTTGCAAGCAAGGAGTATACCCGCTGGAGCTCTGCTTGCAAGCAAGGAGTATACCCGCTGGAGCTCTGCTTGCAAGCAAGGAGTATACCCGCTGGAGCTCTGCTTGCAAGCAAGGAGTATACCCGCTGGAGCTCTGCTTGCAAGCAAGGAGTATACCCGCTGGAGCTCTGCTTGCAAGCAAGGAGTATACCCGCTGGAGCTCTGCTTGCAAGCAAGGAGTATACCCACTGGGACTCTGCTTGCAAGCAAGGAGTATACCCGCTGGAGCTCTGCTTGCAAGCAAGGAGTATACCCGCTGGAGCTCTGCTTGCAAGCAAGGAGTATACCCGCTGGAGCTCTGCTTGCAAGCAAGGAGTATACCCGCTGGAGCTCTGCTTGCAAGCAAGGAGTATACCCGCTGGAGCTCTGCTTGCAAGCAAGGAGTATACCCGCTGGAGCTCTGCTTGCAAGCAAGGAGTATACCCACTGGGACTCTGCTTGCAAGCAAGGAGTATACCCGCTGGAGCTCTGCTTGCAAGCAAGGAGTATACCCGCTGGAGCTCTGCTTGCAAGCAAGGAGTATACCCGCTGGAGCTCTGCTTGCAAGCAAGGAGTATACCCACTGGGACTCTGTTTGCAAGCAAGGAGTATACCCGCTGGAGCTCTGCTTGCAAGCAAGGAGTATACCCGCTGGAGCTCTGCTTGCAAGCAAGGAGTATACCCGCTGGAGCTCTGCTTGCAAGCAAGGAGTATACCCGCTGGAGCTCTGCTTGCAAGCAAGGAGTATACCCACTGGAGCTCTGCTTGCAAGCAAGGAGTATGCCCGCTGGAGCTCTGCTTGCAA